ATGAAAGAAAAAAGAGAAATAGTACATCATATGAAGCAGCAAAATGAATTCTATTTATGTATTTCATAGTTATATATTGTGTTAATAGAGTACTCCAGACTATAATAAAACATATAACCCGCTTTCGGAGTGCTCCAGAGTGGGTTATATGTTTTATTATTGACTGGAATACTCCATTAACAACCCTAATTGTGGTATAAGAGTAGTGTTCCAGACTTATGCAATTTCAGGGAAAAATTCCTAAAATCACATAAGTCTGGGCACTCTATATAAGAGAAGAACAAGCGATACCATACAAGCATCATTTTAAGTATACTCATATGTGTTATTGCAAAATGAGGATTGATTTTCTGAACCATTTATCTTTAATATAAGGGTGAACAACACTACTTGTAAATACGAAGGTCTCTTATATATCTAAGATACGTAATTCAGGTAAGAGAAATTTACAATACACTGTAATTTAATTTCAGTCATTTACATAAGTACTTTAGTTATATTTCTAACAGAATTTTATTTTATTCGTGCTAAATCAGTTAATTAAGCTATTCAAGTTTGAGAATATTTATTATGGGTTTCATAAAATTTCGGTCTATTCATGTTAATATAATCGACATAACCGCTTATTGTTGGATATATTTTAAGGTGAGCTGTTCAAATTCATGGATCTTTATCGTTGTGCCTTTTTAATATTATTTCATTCATGTCGATTTAATAAGTGACTTAAAAAAGTTCATCTATTAATTAATGCATTTGATAAGCTACTTAAGTTTATTGATTTTGATTGTTGTGCAATGCCTTATTAATTTTATTCAGTTATATTAATTTGGTTGATATGTCTAAAATATGCTATGTAAGTTCATGGATTTTTACTATTGTATCATTCCTTTGACCTATACATTAAAACTCTAATTGTTATTTGCATATTACTTTTGGTTGTGGGCCATGTCAATGTGCTACTTCCCTATCAAACTTGTAGATCGATTGACGGCAAGATAAAAAAAAAACAAAAAAAAAAAACAAAAATTTGAATTTTTTGTCATTTGTTAACATCTCAACTCTGTATTATGAGCATGATCATGCAATTATTGTAAAGATTTGTTTTATTAATAAATGTCTAAATCTTTATATAAATTACGAAATCCATTGCATATTCATCTTTGTGAGGTGGACGTGCATTCCCTATGTACATTGCTCTCGCACGGTAGGTCTTTCCTAATCCATCATATTGATACCAGCCTGAACGTTTAATATTCTCAAAGTGAATATCAGCAATATGATAGTTGCCATTGCAAAAAGAAACACCTGTAAGACAATACCTAATTTTAAAATCGTAAATAGTCAAATTCATTAGTGCAAAAAAAAAAAACCTTCAAAAAATCAGCTGAGACATACTTTTGCTTTACACTATCTGGAGAAAAACTAATCTCTTCTGGAAGGTCCTTATTTTTGAGATATATTTTTTCATCAATAATATTGATTTCTGTAACATTGATTGCAAGAATAAGAGGTAGCTGCGGGTTAATTTGTCTTGTTGATATAGTTTCTCCTGAACACATATACAAATATCTATAAAAAAAAAATAAATAAATAAATTAGAAAGTAAATAAGAAATAGTAAAGATGAGTCATTTACTTAGTTTTTCCAGTCTTTACAGATGTACATTTATCAAACTTAAAGGCACTTATGGGAATGTTTTTTGGTTTTTCTCTATTCATGGTCTTAAATTCTGACCCGCAAGGGGCAATACAAGGTTCTTTCTACTGTCTAAGGTAAGTTTCAAAATAATTGCTTCTCCATAACATGCATACTAGTGTTTTTCTATCATAATAAGTTATTAAAATGTGAATGTCAATAAAATTCACTAAAACTATCACCAAGAGATAATAAAGGTTAAACTATTCGAACAAATAAGAATGAAAAAACAATTAAGCATTACGTAAGTATGTCATAACAATTACATAAGCACAATATCATAACAATTTGCTGGAGGTAAGACTCTTCTTGGACAATATTCTGAACCACATGTCGTTATTACTGTACTTTTGACTACAAGAAGATTTTGATCTAAAGGGTCTTGAAAAAATTGCTCAAAAAACCATTCTGAAAGTCCTCCAAATAAATTCATTTCACCGGCATTTACTAGTTTGGAATATGATGGTAAACTTTCGGCCTAGAGAACTTTCGCTTCTGACCATTGTTTAATTTTCATGCGATTCAAAACTTGAAGAAAAAGATGCATATGTGAATTTGGATTGATTATAGCAAAATCATTAGCTTGTTTATATATATTATGGTGAGTAAAGACGCTTTGGATGAGCATAAGACTTGTATCTACAGAGCATGTTAAAGTTAAATGTAATTTATTTATTTTTTCCTCCATATGGCTTCGTAAAAATGATAGCATTACCGTGGGAGTCCGTAGATGACTTAATTGATTTGTCTATCTATTATCAACTCATAAAAACATTATTAAATAAAAAATAAAAAATAAAAAAAATAATTGCAGTTACATTACCTTTTCTTTTTTTTTTTTTTGCCCATCATCATATCCGATTATATCAACTAATTGTACTATTTGTTGATTCTTACTACCATTTGCCAGCATAATATCTACCATAACCTCGCCATTACCAATAATTTCAATGATTTAACTTTATGTAAGGCTTGTTCAGTATTGCATTTCGAAGTTGAATAGACTTCCCTGGAATTAACCTGCTTTTCCTTTTATTTTTAGTTCCTCTTTTTTGAGGTAATTTAAGCTCATCTTTGCTATGACCGCTAGCATCCTTCTGACGAAGATAAGACTCAAGAGAACTATTTGAAGTTGATTTAGGCACAGATCTATATGAAAAGCAAAGAAAAAATATAGAATGATATATTAGTATAGTATTATCAGTTTAATTGTACATTTAATTTAAAATTTATTATTCATAGGTACAGTTCGATGCACTTTCACAATAAAAATAAAATGAATCTACCTTTGCATTTTGTTATTACTATAAGAAATAATGCTGCATAAAGAAGGTATTAATAAATATTTATATAAGAAACTTAATAGAAATAATTCATACTTCCGTGTTTTAAGCTCGTTAATTAAGAAACACACGGCTACAATATCCTGGCAATCATGACCATGAATAACATTGTAACTGCAAGGACAAGCAAATTTTTCACTTTTGCGAGTAACGCAAAGTAGTTTCCTATGTTGTTTGATAAAATAATCATCAATCATTTCTGGGGTTTTTATCTCTTGGCTCTCAAATTTATCAAACTCTAATACTGAGCTTTCTTTGCGAATAATATCAATCTCATCTTCTAGTTTCGCAACAGCATCCTGGATATCATCGCTCAAATCAAACCGGGACACATTCCAAGAATTTTTATCAATTTCTAGATCAAGAAAACAAATAAAATAAAATAAATTCAATAAATCAAAGAATTCATAAATAATATATGTTTATCTTGAACTTTATTTTTTTTATATAATAATTCACCTTTCCTTATAATTTTTTCTTTTTTGTGTTGCAATTGTGACTTTGTAGGAGGTTTACCTTCTCCTTGCCAAAACCTACTTAGAAAAAGGTTATACTGTATGATATTACAAAAAAAAAAAAAGCATATTTAACTAACCTTTCTACCTCTCTAGCATCTACACGCATTAATTATTCAATTTTCTCAAGGTTAGAGTGCAAAGATTTAATATATCTTTCTCGGTAATGTAGTAACATGTCCTTTTTAAAATAACTTTATAACAGCATATTTGTTTTTATAGGACAATTGTTACACTTATAATCTGGCCAGGTGTCTTTCGATATAAATAAAACTCTCAATATTTTTATAAAAGGCTAATTATAAAATAACTTATATTAACCGACCAACCCAATCACCAAACCAGTGTGTTCAGAAATAAGATGTAATAGCTTTTGTGGTATCCAACTTTAAAGTTCCAACAGCAGCTTGGAGTTTTTCTGCATCTAAAATGGTAGGTTTTCTCTAATCAAATTCTTCCTGATCTCGGGATCATTTAACAAATCGGAATTGATAAAAAACTTGGTCTCTAATCCATTGATCATTTAGATGTTTCGTAAACTATTCCTTCAAAGCGTTAGCTAAAAAAAGTGCAAATAGCAAAAAAAATAAAATAAAATAAAATAAAATAAATAAATAAAAATTAAAAATATAATAAATAAATAGACAAAAAGATAAAAGTCAAAAGTTTACCATCATACCAATTACATAAAATCACCTGTGTATTTGGAAAGTGTTTCTTAGCCGCCACGAGATAAGGGTCCTATTTGTCTATAGTTAACCGCTTAGGATTCAGTTTAATATTATTCTTAGCAGTGTATTGAATTAACTACAAATAGCCGAAGTTATTATACTATATTATCTAATAAAGTCTAGAAAAAAACAACTAACAATACTTACTGATTCAAACATCAGATCAACAACCGGTATTGTTTCTTTGTCATTTATAAATGTTGCTATAATTCGACCATGAGGCTCATCTGATCTAATCATAAAGGCTATATTTGGAAAGTTTAAAAAGTTACGACAGCCAGTAGAATCTACTGCAAGAAGATTTTAATATTTGGTCAACAGCATTGGTATAATTGATGATGCGATGCCAAGAAGAACAGCTTGCTCTTTGGAATCTTGGAAGTTCTTAATGCCGTATAGTTTTGATATTACAACACCTTCAGTTTCATAAGTATCCATAATAGAACAAACCTTTAACACAATCAAAAATAAACATAAATAAATAGATAAATTAAAGAATAAAAAAAATACATTACTTTTTCGACTCTAATGCACTTGGATAGCATAATTTTTTATCATACTTGAGAGCATTTTGAATCGCCTCAAGATTAGGTATAAATCGGGTAAAGATTGGTTGAACTTGATTTGCGGGTGTACTAGTAGTTATGCTAGAAATCTTGCATTATTCATGAATTCTAAAAATATACAAAACTAATAATGTAAGAATTAAATTTTTTTCAAATTTCTTTCTTAAAAAAAGTTTTTCTAACTTACCTGTCGCTAAGGTTGATGGCGTTACATTTGTATATCTATTTGTGATTTCCTTTCTTATTACCTTTGCCATTTGATATGGCTTTTTTCTAATATGTTCAGGATCATGGTTACCGTGGCACTTGATATTATATAGATTAAGTGGTTTATCTCGAAGAACTACAATATGGCCTTTCTAATTACATTTGCCTTTGCGGCAGCCATTCTGTAACAGTATTATTAGCATTTCATAAGTTGATCTTAAAATAACAAATATATTCTATATCTTATATACTCGAATAGAATATCCAAGGTATTCTACATATGCCAATTTCGACTTAGTTAGTTGTGTTGCATCTTCATCAATAAGTGTAATGCTCTTCACATCCCCGTCACATAACTTTATATTTGAAGATAATGAGAATATGTCTAATATTTCATGTATGCTTCTTAATAATCAAATCTCTTACTCGACCCCTATTTGTGCAGTCTTGAGATAAAATAGTATAACCTTCACCAAGATTACTACCTCCGGATGATATTGTGTCAAATGAATATAGGTCTAGCACAGAAGGTACTTGGGTAAGTGGCACTTGTATACACCGAAGATTTAGTAATAATGGACGCCAAACTATTTTGGACTTTACGGCACTATGAGTTGATAAAGATAATTCGTCCATTGTTAGTGATAAGTAACCTAAGATTAATGTCTTAAATAATTTATATTCTGTCATATTAACATGTCTCATTTTATATGGTTGATGAGAGATATTTCGAATTTAGTATCTATAATTAGCATTAAGTAATATTTTAATACACCTAAGAACATCACTATTACCTCAAAAAAAAAAGAAGATTTTTGAATCGTCCAAAAAAGTAAATTAATAACATGGTTCCTTTTTTATTCAGTAAATTAATGACATAGTTTCCTTTTCTTCACAAGATTCTACATAAACATGTCTAATCATGTTCTTCATAAGGTTCTACATAAATATGTCTAACTACATTCTTGTCTAATCACGTTCTTCACATATAAAAAAAAAAGCAAATTTTACAATAAAATAAAATTAAATAAATAAGCGAAATTTACCTGACAGGCGACAACAACAAAAAAAGGTATTGGGGGCTAAAATTTATCGTTTGAGATTAATTCCATTCAATATAACAATCTACTTTTATCTTATCAGCATGATTCGATGCTTCAAAGAATACATAGCAGTAATAGGCTTGTCAATATACGTTCGTTTTTTTTTTTTTCTTATTAATCTTCATTTTTTTAATGGTAAATTTAGAGCATTTCTTTTGATGATTATACTAAAGGTAAATACATTTTTTAGATGAATTTGGATTTAAAGCTACACAAAAAATAAAATAAAATAAAATAAATGAAAATAAATTAGTTGTTAATAAATCTCGTTTCAATGCTAGCATTATTAAGAGTAATTATACTTTACAAAGTTGTGATATCTATTACGAAGAATTATTGTCAGTTAAGCAATTACCGTAAACTGCCATATAAACGACCCAGATCTGTTACATTTTACCTATTTTAAAACCTATTAATAGACCCCCGGGTCTCTTGTATGGGTACGGGTCTGATAACTGGAAAATTTATATATGGAA